AATTGGGACGTACCGCGTAGTTGGCATGGGTGCCTGTCGCGGTATAGGAGACAGGACGAACTCCGATCTTCTCTACAGCAGAGTATTTGAAGGCTGAGCCACTAGCGTGTTCGGAATAGTAGACGACATCGGGGACACCGTTGATGAATCGAACCATGGTATGCTCCCAATCTCCGACATGATTGCCGAATCTCAGGCCAAGTACACTGGATTTCATACGAGTCGATTAGATGAAAAAAAGATCTAATTGCGCTACTTACGCATTGCCGAAGTTGAAAGAGTAGAAATAAAAATAGAAGGCGTCAGTGATTCCTCCGGGTTTCTCCACGACGATGATGGTCGCAGGCGCAACGCTGGTACCGTTTACAGGCTTGCCAACGACGGACGTGAAGAACGGGCTTTTGTGGGCGAGGGCGTCTTCGACTGCTGTTAGATAGACGTTGTGGTCGTAGTTGGGTAGCGTCTGGAGGGTTGGCGGTCCGCCGACGGCCGCGAAATTTATTTCTGGGATAACCTTCAGAAGATGGGTTGCAACGTCTGATGGCCAATAATCTTCTTTCGAATAGAGGTACGACAAGGGAGCGAATTTGAGGACAAAGTCTGGGAAGTTGCCGGCGCACTTAACGGGGGCGGCGTCGACAACGGCGACACGGGCAGTGAGATAGATCAAGAGGAGCGGGATGGGGATGATGACCATGGCTCACTAGGCCGAGCGGGACAAGGGGGTATTCGTATTCTCACCAAGCATTTTAACCAAAGGTGAGAGGGTGTCAATTATGGGCGCAAACTGGGAAAGTGCCGAGTAAGATGACCGGAGCCGTCAAGACCCAGAGCACGTTTCCAAAGGGATCAGAACCAGAACTGTGGGTTAGGGGCGTTCGAGCGTCGAGGCCAGGTCTGATGAAGATCACGAGGATGCAATGAACAAGTACCGTAGCCCATAGACTTGCACGGGCGTGCGCGCTGTTCGAGCTAGGCGGAGGTTGATCGCAGGAATGTTGCGCAACGATCGGACCGACGCACTGCAACTCATCGAAGCCGTCATCACTCTTTACTCGGTAGTGGGGATATAAGCAGGAATGCCTCCGCCAATTCCACCAGACTCTCTCTTCTGGGGGACATCCCTCCTTGATCTCAAAGAAATGTTTTCTCGCACGCTCGTTTCACTAGTCACTCTTTTATTCTCCCTCTCTGCTCTCCCGGGCCTTTCCCTGCCAGCTACCAAGAATTTACAGGCCTCCGACCCATGTGCCACCATCGCCGGCCAGAAATGGGTCGCCCCAGCTGACGTTCGCGCATGTTTCACCTCGTTTCCGGTCGACCCAGTCGAACAGGCCAATGTAGGCGGCACTCATAACCCGCCTTAATCCCACTCTCCCCCATTGACCTCTTTTTCCAACAACTAGATTGTAACCGCTTCTACCAGGATTCTAGGCTTCCACACGTCCGTCAATTACCAGATCAGGGCTCCTCAACCGTTCACTGTCGACGTTCACGAGGACATCATTGGCGACCTCCAACGAATCAGCGCAACCCAATACCAAAACGACCTTGACTTCCACATCGACGTTTCACGCTCTTTCAAGAGGTTGGGTGACGGCCACGCTGCCTACGTCAATCTCTGTTACGACGGTATGGTCCCCCCTTCAACTCCCCTGCGTCTCGCTGACCTGTTTCCTGCCTAAGGTCTCTACGTCAATTACATTCCTTTGCCCCTTGTCCACCTCACGGACAACCTTGGATTCCAACACGTCCACATCGCTCCTGAGGCTTTCAAAGTAGCCCAGGCAGAGTTCCCCGACCAGATCGATTTCTGGCAGAATGCTCTCCCCGGAGGCCTCAAGGGCAACCTCGAATCTGTATGTGAACAGGACCGCTCCCCTGCTTTTATAAATTCACGGAATCCAGCTCAACGGTGCCCAAGTCCTCCTGATCGATTGGAAGCCCCCTTACGTGGCTGTGGATGAGAATGCTGCTATCTCCGGTGGCTATCAGGGTTTTGGAACCCGCCAGAACTCGTAAGTTCGTGTTCCAGTTGGAATCAATGCGCAGAAAAACAACGTTCATATAGCTTCTTCTCGTCCTACTCGCGCGCCGCGAAACAATGGAGCTACGTTTTTGGACAATTCGCTAGTCAGTCGCTCCCTCTCAGTGACTTTGTCACATTGACCGTCCTACGCGAGGGAAAAATTGTCCCGGATACTTTCACCGTGAGCAAAATTGAAACCTTTCTGGACTTCACCCGAGGTTTAATCATCACCGATACCCTCAGATTCCGTTCCGCTCTCGCATTTCTACTTCGGCAGTGGCTTGGGCTGATAGTCCCTCCTTCCGTGCTAATAACTGCAAGGCTACCAACGGTACAAACGGCGTCGACTACTATGCTTCTACTCCCAATAATAACGACGACAGCACTGCCCGTGTTCAGCAGCAGCCGCAAATCTCCCCCGCTGACCGTCGCAAGCACCTCCTCAATGTTATTCTTGATGTCACTCCTCCGTCAGACGTCCCTCTCCCTCCTGAAATAGCCCCCGCCTTGCCACCATTGGGTGGAAGCTACTCCGTCGCCCAGTTTTACTACTTGAACGACACTCAGACCGGTGTTTTGGCTCTTGGTAGCTTCAGTGCCGAATCGTTCAGTGACCTCCAGCAAAGCCTCCTCACGGGTTTACAGAACCTCAAGACAGCTGGTGCTAAACAACTCATAGTCGACGTCACCAACAATGGTGGTGGGTATATTTGCATCGCCCACTGGCTTCACCGCATCATCGCCGGACCCAAGGACACCACGGAGCCCCAGGCAGGTCTCTACACTGAGGCTCGTGCTCAGCCACTCGCGCAAGCCATCACGGCTGCTATCGCTGATGGGGCGGATCCCGATGGGCATCTGATGTATAATCCCATTCACTGGGCTTTTGCCAACAACACCCTCTTCCCAGCAAAATACGACTGGCTCGAGGACCCCGTCAAGAAGGTTATCAACGGCCGCGATGATCTCTTCAGTCAGAAATTGGGCCAAGAATGCCAGCCTTTCGCCATTGACCCCCCTGCTGAGGGACTGTTCGACTCCAAGAAGGTTGCCATCGTTGGCAATGGCCGTTGCGCATCTTCTTGCTCCTTGTTCTCCGTGAGTTTTCTACCCTCTTCGCCCTCGCCGTTGGCCCCACATAATTCTAAGCCAAATCGAATAAGATCGCCATGAACAAGCTCGAGGGTACCAAGACTGTTGTCTTTGGTGGGCGCAGCACCGTGAGGCAGCAATACTGTGGTACCGTTGGGGGTCAGTCGACCGATTTCCGCACTCTGAACTCTGAGATCAAGACGGTAAAGTTGACTGGCAATCCCCTGGCACCTCCTGACTTTCTCACCAACTCTGTCGTGGGTATTACCTGGAGGCTGGGTTTCGGCGTTTGGAACCCAGAGGAGCCCGAGGAATGGCAGGATCACCCTGCAAATGTTCCCCTTGATTTGACTAAGGACAACATCAACAATCCGCTTGCTATCTGGAACGATGTCATTGAAGCTGTGTTCTGATTTACTCGCAGTGTCCGCGTTGCTGCACGTTATCCGCTAGCCCTTTTAGCAATCGTTTAAGTTGTGTTTAGCACCCGATATTTGAAATTCCACTCCTTTTGCATCCGACCCTGGTCCCTGGTGCGATTTTGATGCGAAGATTACACATGCTTGTGTGGTGTGTATCTATGTCGTGGAACGGGGGCGTCGGATGAGATGGAGAGCGTAAGCAACCGAACTCTCGGCTACTTTGGTCGAATGGGTCCAAAGAGGAAAGTATACCATACAGCCTTCGAGATAGATACACGGAGTAAGATAACGCACACAAAATACAGCAGGAGAAACTAGGGACGAGGGGGTTCGGAACGGCCGTACGAGACCTCCGCCGTTCCGATGGCGAGTTCACCGCCAAACTCGGAAGGAGGATGTTTGTAGGGCGATGGCATGGTGATGAAAACGGAAATATTGCAGTCGGTAGTGGCTGGGTTTGACCGTGGACCGTAGTTGGAGTCGAGATGTTGTGTGTTTTCATCCGTGGTCCTACCGAAGGACATCCACTCCGTGTCCCTATTCTGCGAGGTGAGCAGAGCCGGAGTGCGGAGCCGGTCATGCCCGTATGTCAAGTTGAGAGGCTGCAGCCACCTGAGAATCGGAGGTAACCAGAAGGTAAAAGTGAAGGCGTACCAGGAGGTCCTCCCATTTCGAAGTTTGTTTGGGATGCCCGTCAGCCCACACCTCCCATATAATCGGGGGCTCCGCACAGGCCCCGAGGGGGATTATCTCTCTCCCTTCCGCCGCCTGCTCAAACTGCCGCAGGCGTTCCAGACGGCGAGGATCGCGCTTGTAATAGTACAGAGTTACACAGGTGACCGATGCGAATAGTGCGAAGAAGGAAATGATCAACGTGAACACAATCGTCGTTGGGACCCCGGCGGCGGCTCCGTTGCTTGCCATTTTGGAGGTGAGGAAGGTGGGCGGAGGGCGTGCGCCGGTTTTAGGGCTAGAAGCGGCCCTGATGGTGAGGGTGAGGGTAAGGGCGTGGTGGGCGTGTATACGGCCAGCTTAGGTGAGACGAGGATGGGTGACCCAACCCTGCGTCATCAAACCCAGTTCGGCCGACGTCATCCGCGACACCAATTGAACCTCGCGTGCCTTAACGGCATCGTAAATCATCCAGGCGTTGCTCGCTAAATATTAGATTCACCGTTTTCATCCGCTTGTCTGCTCGAAAAATACTTGACTTCTATCCTCGACTTGCGGGTTCTCTTTTACTAGCCAGCAGAGTAATTCGACACGTGTACAGTTGGGTGCCCAGTTAATATTTACACGCCTCTTCTGGCAGAATTTTGTGATGGTTAGTTAGCAAGCCAGCAGCCCCTCATCGACATCGAAGGGACTGGCGAAGCCCCGGATCAAAAGATAAGCGTCCCCCTTCTTTTGCATGCCAGTCAACCGTGGATGGAAATGAGCTCGCGAATGAAAAAAGAGGGCTTGACCGGGAATTGAACCCGGGACCACCTGCAATTGAACATGCCCTTGCAATGCAAGGGGGAACACCCGAAGCAGGTATCATACTACTAGACCATCAAGCCATTGGCGGGTATTGCTTTTTATGTATTATATACCTGTTCCATTAGACTTTAATGGTCTTGACACTCGGCTGGCCCAAGCCGGGTCCCGGCTCCGAGCATCATCTGTTTGATCAAGCAATTGCAGGTGAGTAGGCAGATGGATCCAGCGACGATAAGTATACAAGGAAGAACGGCGGCTTTGGTCCGGCCACGTAGAGTTGTTCACACTGGGCCGGGTCTGGTCGTCTCCGGCTGATGATTTCAGTTTGGAGGGTTTGTCTCCATTTCCGTGAACTGCGTCAGGGGAACCCACTCTTAGCCGCCCTACATCACTAGTAGCCGAGAAAACAACTTTCCTTCCTCCTCTCTCCGAGACTCGTCGGTGGCCATGCCAGACTATCAATTTCCGGCCTCTATAGGTTTGGCCGCCGCCGCCGCAATCAGTGCAACGGTCAATCTTTCGACTTCGAAACATGAGGGAGGGATCAAGCTTGAAGGGCCTGAGGGCGAGCGAGAGTATGACCCGTTCGATGTCACGACTCCCGAGGACGTCGCTCCAGGGGAACCAATCGAAGGTCCTCGATTTTGGTCTAGGGTGTGTACATGCACCCCCCTCTATATCCTCATTGCCGTGTATGACGTGTGCTTTCAAACCCTATTTTGTGACGACAGATTCGTCTCGTCAAGTTTGTCCTTCTCCTCAACTTCGCCGCTATCCTCATTCTGCAAACAATCTCGGTTGGATGGTCGTTTGCAACGCTCGAACCCAAGGATGCTATCGTTCCTACTCTGAACGCTTTCACGGCGTTATACCTTATAGTCATCACGATTTCTACTCTCAACGATGAGATTCCCGACGTGCACTTTACACAGGTAGTCCACATTGCTGCCATTACGACGATCGCCGCTCTCGTGTTCGGCTCGATCGCGATCCTACCTTCATCTCAAATCACGATCTCGGGCCAAGCGGGAGATTCCGATTCCTGGGCCTTACATTATGCCGTGGTCGGGCTCTATGCGGTCGCGTGTGCTATCAGCCTCAATATTCCCCGTGGCCCTGCTTTGCATTTCCCTCCCGAACAAATCTACTCGGAAAAGACTGTGGAATCTACTACTAGCAGATACAGAGACAATGTTTGCGGGATCGTTAACGACTCTATCTTCGGTATGCTTTTTTTCTCTTATACCACAAAGGTACCTCCGTTCATTGAGAACTACGTTCAAACTCGCTCACCTCTCCGATCAAGGTTGTTATGCTTGGTCACACTACCCAAAGTCTTGAAATCGGTGACTTGCCGATCGTGTCCTTCGATATGCGCGCGACTTACCTGTTCCGAGCGATGAGGGATACCATGAAAAATATCAAACCGATTATTCTTGGCTGGAAGCCCAAACCTGGCTCGGGCTTGCAGGTTGGAATTCGTTTGTTCAAGTTGAATGCGTTCGTCATACTCTTGGAAATGTGGCTGGCTGCCTTCACCGCCGTGCTATTCTACGCCCCTGCCTTCTTCTTGAGATGCCTAGTTGCCTACCTTGAAACAGACCCTCTGAGGTTGCACAGAGAATGGGGTGCCGTGTATGCTTTGGGACTTTTCGTTAGTGGTGTGATCCTGACTTTGGGTAGGTCTCTGGTCCACAGAATCGCGTGTTTCCAGATGCTTAATACGTCACATAGCTTCCGGTCAACTTTGGTCCATCAGCACCACCACTCTCCAGGTTAGGTTGCGCGTACAACTTAACTCAATCTTATTTTCCAAGACATTGGTCCGAAAGGATCTCGCTTCTACCGGATCCAATAACGCAACGGGGGACGAGGATGGCAAAAACAACGGACCAACCCCTGAAAGGGATGCTGAAGAGTCGGAAGATGATTTCTCTTCCAAGGCGCAGATCATGACCCTCATGACTACTGACGTCGACCGCGTCAGTGATTTCTCTTGGCACCTCTTCACTCTCGTTGGTGAGTTTCCAATTCTCGAGCGAGAAACGGGAGTTCATAGCAACCTACAGACGCTCCCGTTGAGATCGTGGTTGGGACAATCTTCCTATACAACTTGCTCGGCGTCTCCTGTCTATTCGGATTACTTGTGACATGCCTGTTCCTTCCGTTGAATCACTTCGCTGGGAAGGTCATAGTAAACGCACAAGACAACCTCATGAAGGCGAGAGATGAGAGGGTTTCGTTGATGAATGAGATCCTTGGAGCAATCAGGATGATCAAATTCATGGCTTGGGAACGCAGCTTCGAGTCTCGCGTTCACAAAGTTCGTCGCAAGGAACTGAAATACCAAAGGAGGAACTACCTCATCGAGGTGAACTGCTTTACTGGAAACTATGGGATTGATATTCTCATTCATTGACACACACACACTTGTTTCCAGGTGCTTTTTAACGCTATCTGGAACTCTTCCCCGATCTTCGTAACCCTTGTGGCTTTCTGGCACTTTACCGTCGTTCGTGGACAAACCCTCACTCCTTCAATCGCTTTCACCTCTGTAAGTTCCTCTCGCCATCGGAGAACGAGGTTGAAACTAACACTTTCGGCTTCAGCTTACCAGTGAGTAGAACTCACCTGATTTGATACGAGTAATCCATCTGAAGCCGGAAAAGTCTTCGACGAGATGAAGTTTGCGTTGAATGCAATCCCGGAGACTTTAATCAATATGTTGCAGGTACGGAGTTGCTTGCTAGACCTGTCCCGGGGGTCTAATCGATTCATCGCAGAGCGTCGTCTCGTTGCGTCGCATTGAAAAGTATCTCCTCGGCGCTGAGGTTTCACCCGTTCCTCCTCCAGAGGAGCAGGATGGCACCATTGCCTTCCAAAACGCAACTTTCACCTGGCCACAGGAGCGCATGCGCTCTGCGAGCAACTCCTCTTCGGCCGCCTCTACTCCGAAAACCAAATTCGTGTTGATGGACCTCTCTATCACGTTCCCACGAGGAGAGTTGTCGCTCATTTGCGGAAAGCTGGGATCGGGCAAGACCCTTCTCCTGTTATGTGAGGACTTTCCTGTAGCTCCTCTTTCGAATGTAGCTTATGATTGCTCTCGAAAAAGCGCTCCTTGGTGAGGCAGATATTTTAGCTGGACAGGTTTTGTGTCCCAGGTCCACACCAGACGCGATTGCCTCCTTCCAGGGTCAGATTCCGTCACGGGATGAATGGATCCGGCCGAACGTCTGCGCGTATGTTCCCCAGACCGCGTGGCTGCGCAATGCTTCGATCAAGGGTTTGTATATCGTCCTATATGGTTGTTGTGGGTCTCAACTATTGTTCTAGACAACATTCTCTTCAACCTTCCTTACGTCGAGGAGCGTTATCAAAAGACCTTGGAAGCCTGTGCCCTGATTAGTGACTTGAAGATACTGGAGGATGGTGATGAAGCGGAGATCGGTGAGCGGGGTGTTAACCTCTCGGGTGGTCAAAAGGCTCGAGGTTCGTTTTGTTTGCAGCTCATGTGGATCGAACTCACCTCCGGCGTACTGACAGTTTCGCTCGCACGGGCCGTCTATTCTCGCGCCTCTATATTGTTCCTTGATGACGTGTTGTCTGCTGTCGACGCTCACACCGCCGACCATCTCTACAACGAGTGCCTCCGTGGAGAACTTATGGAGGGACGCACCGTAATCCTTGTTTCGCATCACGTTCAGCTTTGCGCTCCTGGTGCTAATCACGTCATCGTTCTCGATAATGGGCGTGTTCAGTTCCAAGGGGACCGCGAAGGATTCTATGCATCTGGTATCATCAATGGTCTCGTTCAGTCTGGTGCCGTGGCTCGTCCAGAGGAGGATGAAGCCAAGATCGCTGACACTGAGGCATTGGTCGAGGCCATCCTCGTTGCACCTTCCGAAACGAGCTCGACGATTGCTCCATCTACCACCGTCGCTGATTCCAAGCCAGATAAAAAGAAAGCCCCAAGGAAACTCGTCGAAGAAGAAAAGAGAGCCGTCGGTCGCATCGGCAAGGACGTTTGGTTGGCTTATACACGCGCTGCAGGAGGTCGGTGGTATTGGATCTTCTTCTTCGCCTCGCTGGTTCTGGCTGCAATTGGGCCTATCGCCGAGAAGGGCTGGATCACGAGGTGGTCTGGCGCGACGTTGCGTGACGAGGCCCCAAAGAGCCCCATGTGGTACATCAGCATCTATGCTGCGATCACTGGTGCCAATGTGGTTATCTCGACTCTAAGGTGGTTCATCCTCTACCAAGGGTCTATCCGTGCCTCTGTTATCCTTTACGAGCGACTCTTGGAGGGTGTGCTTTTCGCAAAGATCCGATTCCACGACACCGTTTCTAGAGGCCGACTTCTTAACCGGTTTGGCAAAGATTTCGAAGGAATTGACAGTAGCCTTTCGGATAACCTTGGGAGGAGCATCATTAACGGGTTGTCCGTCCTGACGACTTTCATTACGATCAGCGTCGTCGGCGGCTGGCCATTCGTGGCTGTCACTCTTCTGGTCGGTGTTTTCTACTTCGAGGTTGCGAAGGTTTACGGACAGACCGCTCGAGACATGCGACGTTTGGGTATGTTACCGCACAGATCACATAGATAAAGTGGGTGTTGACCTTGCAACAGACTCTGTTACCCGTTCTCCGTTGTACTCCTTGTACGGAGAGACCATCGCTGGAGTCAGCGTGTTACGTGCTTTCGGCGCATCTTCGAAATTCATGAGGGATATGCTCCGATGTGTCGATACGGTAGGAGCCGCATTACCCCTCTGTAATCCCATCACGGCTGACAGCGCCATCAGAACTCTAACCCGTACTATTGGATGTGGGGAGGTGAGCCTCATACCAACCTCAAACAACCAGAACCATAACAACGACTTTTACAGTAAACCGATGGATCTCCTCTCGGTTCAATGTCCTCTCGAACGTTGTTATCGGTTGTGTTGCCCTCATCGCAGTCTTCTCGTATATGGACGCTGCCCTCGCTGGTTTTGCCTTGGCATTCTCTGCAACGGTCGTTAATGATCTGTTGTTCATGGTTCGACGATTCGTCGGTCTAGAGCAGGCGATGGTGCGA